CGTCCGGCGACGACTGGCAGCTCTTTACTTCCTTTCCTCCTGGTCGCACCCTGGAGCAACTTTTATCTCCTCTCCTTCGGCAGTGCGCTCTCTTGAGTGCTTCCGATCCCTTCTGAGTCGAGGTTACACGATAGCGATGGAAATGCGAGAATACGACACACGAAATAGAAAACCGACCGCTCGGCGCGTTGATATGGCACTGAAGTGAGAGGTGTTGAGTGCACACTCGGCGCCACGCCCATGCCACGTGGCAATCGATGACGACGGCGCAATCGATGATGACGGTGCTGCGCGTCGAATAGTATGTACGCGGTGCAGTGACAGCCCAGATGTTAAAGAGTCGTGGGCTTCACGACACAGCTCTTTCCGAAGCAGTCGTTTTGAGGGCCACCTTCGTAAATGCTCACAACAAATATAAAGCGCTCATGTGTTTTCCGTAACAATTTGACACCCGCGGAATAGAACTACTCTCTTAGAGACTGAAATTATCTCCATGTTGGGGATAAATATAGAAGGGCACTTCACCTTTCGCAGTGTAATCATAGCAGGCTTACTCGAACTGTCAAATCAAAGCTCTCGTTGTGAGTCCATCCTTTTTTTTATTTTCGTGATATGCAAAAAATAATCTTGCAATACAAAGTTCGATCGGTCTCTACATAGCCAACGTTCCACTAGACAGGCGAAAGGAGTAATCAAGCGCTTTCCACTCTACGCACAGCCCCAATCTCAAAGTACGAGAAACCCGTGTTTTGTATCTATTCGCTGACTTCTAAATATCAAATTTGAGCGTTTTCGAATTGCTGGTAGTGCTTCCACTCACTATTTGCAAGATAATGTAGGATCGGTTGGTCCGCTAAAATACGTATCTCCAAGGTGCCACCTGGATGTCATTCTTTTATTCCAGATTCTGATTATCACTGTGCAAACTCTATTTCTGGTTTAAGGCTGCTCGAACATTTCGGTTACAAAACAGGTGCTCTTGATGCGAACTTGCCTGGAAAAGTGAGAACTTTGCTCGAGGCGTGCACCGACGTGCCAGGTGATGTTCAGGTCAGCGCATTGTAAGACGGTTCGCTTTAGGTTGAATATTCTCTATTATTCATTGTAGTGTGTTAAGGTTTTCTCGTACATCTATTTTTTAAGAGCATGTTTAAACTATTTTTGTAAGAATGTTTCGAAAAAGTTATGCTTTTATATCAGCTCCCCCCCCCCCCCCCCCCCCCCCCCCCCCCCCCTCCCCGCCCCCCAGAGCTTCATCATATCCGCTTTCTGGGGGGCTGATATGCCTAATGTTTTGAAATGTAGTCTTTTGTGATTATGTTGTGGTTCGAAGTTTGACTTTCAGTTCAAAAACTCCGATGAGAAGACCTTTTGGCCCATTTCTGATACCTACCGAATTTTTAAGTACCCCGCAGCTGGTCTACCACCTCAACGTGGTGGGACACATGTCCGATCAGCTAAGATTAGGCCCCTCGGCTCCCTCTTCACCATCGTGGCTATAGCCTGGCTGACTGTGGCGAAGCAGTGTTGGGACCTTAAGGAGCAAGCTTAACTAAACCCCGCACACTGGGTCCAGGCTTCTTCGGCGTCGGAGATGGCAACTGGTGAGAGGCGAAGAAATCCCGGGATGCGCAGGACGCCTGGTTTTCGGACCACGACAGCATTTTCTCCACACGAAATGGAGACTGCTTCCTTCCCATACCTTTAACGCGAACAGTCTCCTCCAACGACGCTCTTCCTGAGTCCTCGAGGCGACTAGTCGCAACAAGTCTAATTCTGCCACCCTACGCCGTAGACATGCGCACCTTAAGTCCATCTCTATCATCAACTGCCATTCTCCACGTTCAACAACTGTCATAGTAGAGCTCGGTACGTTTTGCGATTAACTTGAGGAAATCGTCCATGACTAAAAGTCCTTCGACAAGTTCGTTGTTGGAGATTTCGACGCTAATGCTGGCGAAGCAGCAGAGGGGGAGTTCAGGATATGAAAGTTCGGAATGTGGGACAGGAACGAAAACAGAACGAAAATCGTTTAGTCGGACTTCTCTCTGCTGCTCGACTCTCCCATGGCAACTGTTTATTCATAAGAAGAAACATCGCCGCTGGACATGGGAGTCTCCAAGCGGCCCAAGTCATGCAGAACTGGACCACATAATAATGAACAGAAAGCGGTGCTTACTAGATGATGGTGTGCTACCATCTTTCTGGATTAGTTCTGATCATCAACTCCTTCGCGCTGAGATCCAATCGCTGAGAATCAGTCACAAGCTGGGAAACTTTTCCAACGTCGCACTAAGAGCTCGAAGCATGTTGCACGGAAATGTTCTGAACGACGCTTTGTACCGATATGACTGACGGGTCATGTATTACCCGACCGAAGACTACGGCTCGCCTCAGTTTTGCTGACAAGACCATGCTTCTTCTAGTGGATACCTCCGCTCGCATTTCAGATGCGACGAGGGGTCTTCTCAGGGCAAGATGAAACTTGAGGCTTACCAAAACACGTCATATATCTTGAAAGGGTACAAGCAAATATCCAGCCGAAATTGGAACGCTTTAGGTGCACAGGACGGTAGTTATGAATTTTTGCTCAAATCCCTTCCTGAGCGGGGTCCGATCCTACCATCTATCATGAGTGTTTCCATCCTGCCATTTGTTTGATCACTCTAGGTGCACGGTTACAGGAGTTATGAATTTCTCGTCAGGCACACATACACACAAACACATCATTAGACATACACACACAATTAGAGGTTATATGAGTAAGATTCTCCCGTGATATTGAAGTGATGAGAACTCACCCGAAATCTGCTGAACAATTCTCTTCTTTATTCTTTCTTTGCTCCGAACACTCTTTTGCTTCGTGAGATAGCGCTTTTCCTTTGGTTAATTGACTTTGTGTGATTCACTCCTTTTCATCCGGCTCAAGAACACATGGCCATTGCATGGGTATGATTTCAGGCTGAATGAACCGGTGTGTTTTTTTGAATTCCGCTCCTATTGTTCACGGATTGAAAAAGCATTGTTTGATCTCAACTAAGATACTTTTTCATTACCCGGAACACATTTTCTCAGTGAATTTAAGTTAGTGAATCCTTTCTAAGGGATACTTTCAATTCTGTTCAGGAATCTGGCAGGTTGAAGTTTAGGGGTACGCCTATTTCTGCTTGTCTTACTCTCTCAGTAATTAGTACAGAGTATCCATTGTATAATCCCTAGTTATTTTAATGACAGTTTTTCGCCGTGGCGGACGCTCAAGACTCTTCAAGGCCAAAATTTTGTCTGAGCATTAATCAGTTTATTCGTTCAAGCTCTTGAATCTAGGATACCACTTCAGTCACGGAATATTCATATTTGTTCAGCCTTGCTTCGCTATCCAGCGAAAGTTCCGTTCAGACCTCTCACTTTTTTTATACTTTTATACTGGGCTCCTTTTGGCTATCGTCTTTTAATGTCTTAATTTAGGCTGCTGTGCTTCGGATGTTCCAAATGACCCGCGTTGGTTTGTCAACAATGAGGAGGAAAATTATCAATGAGTAAGCCATTCAGCCTATTTTCCAAACCTTTCGTTCTTCTCGTTCTTCCTTTCGTTCTTCTTTCCCCATTCTTTTTTCATCTCTTTCTTCAATTTTTTTCTTCCATTCTTTTTCTTCCATTCTTCTTTTTCCACCTTTACTCCTCCATTTTAGCACGAATAGCCAAGTAGCCGAGAACGTACGCTTACGTCTGCACTTAGAAAAACCACGAGTTCGATCCCTGCAGAGGCAAAAACCATGCCTTGTAAAAATTGCGAGAATGTGCATGGACCAGCGTCAGGCCTAGGGTGACAGGCCGGCTGATGGAGAAATCCTGTCAAGACAATCACGAACAGAGTCTCCAAAATGATCAGTGTGAAAGCTAGAACTTCACCCGGAAGTCTCGCGGAAGCCATCGAGAGTATGCGGGACTGCCGATATCTGGGGAGCGTCCTGTCTGCGGACGCAAGTGCGGACCCGGTTGTAAAGGCTCGGATAAATGCGGCATGGATGAAATGCCTATTAGGATCCTCCGCGATCAGCAGGCTCAATGGCTCAACGAGTTTATGAAAACAACGTTTCATAGATCATGAAGAAGCCCCGCGATGCTTTACGGCAACGAGTCTGTTCCGTAGGGAAGAATCGTAAAAGGCTACTTTAGTATGTTAAGATGGTCCCGAGGTAGGACCGACTAGATCGGATCAGAAAGAAGGGCAATAGCTGATCTTCAAATCGATCCTGTAACGTGGAGTCAAAAGAATAGCGCGTGCGAAATGGGTGCCCACTAAAAAGTAAATAAGAAGGGCGCTGAAGTTCGAAGCTGAAGTGAAGCGGTCAAATGGAGCCCCAAAGAAAAGGTGGCAGGACGTGATCAAAAAAAACCTCAGGCAGTAATTGCCGCATAAAGAAAGAAATGGGAACAAGTGGTAAAAACAGTGGACCTTCCGGCGGCGCGAGACTAACGCTAGAGAAGAAGGAGAAAAAGGTTCTTCCATTTTTATCCTCTCTTTCATATTCTTCCGTTCTTTTTCTTCCACTTTTCGTCTTCCAATCTTTTTCTTCCATTCTTATTCTTCCATGGCTATCGACGATGTCCCTGGAGAAAGTGTGGTCCTCTTTGAAAAGCCTTTCCGGGTCCATATGAAATGGTTTCAGCATCACTTCTTATTAGCTTCATGTTGATGCGTAGGCAACGAAAATTTCAGAGCTGGGATTGAGTCACATCTTCTAATTCGCTTACGTCTGTTTCGAAGTGTTAAAGGCACCGTTCACGATAAAAAAAGTTATTGAGTTCTTACTTATTAATACTCAGCGGCCCCCATGGGTTGTAGAAGGGACCCTCTCACTCCCCCAATCTCGACGTCCAGGGCATAGTGGCAGCTCCGTTGTTGCCGTAGTTCGCGTGCCCGCCCCTCGATCGGTGTCACGTTAGACGAGTGCCGAGACAATACAGATTGCTATTATTCCTTCTAGGACCCACGCACAATCAGCTAGTCGCCGAGTGATGAGGCGATGTTTTTCTCCCATTCTTTTTTTCCTCTGTTTTTCTTTTTGCTGCCGCGATCCCTTATTGGTGCTAAGTGGGTTGGGGAGACCACGCGGCGCGGCAGGCGGCGCGGCACCCTGCGCTCTCCAGCGAGATAGTAGAGAAGGAAGCCCGAAACGGTGTTTAGGGACGTTTCATAGTTTTTTATGTGTGCATTTTTCATCTAATTTCAGGAAGGGGGGGGGCTCCGGGGTGGGTGAGCCAATTGGACGTTCAACTTTTATTTCATCTCAGCTTTTTGCACGAGACAACCATCTCACCCACCCCCGGAGCCCCTCCCCTGCTTAAAAAATGGGTTTTTTTGGCTCAGAAGAAGTGTATCCATAGTATGCAAGCATATTGTATGTTCTGAATCACGAAACACATCAGAACAACCTTACCATTCCTTCTCAGATCAGGCCCACTACTATCTTGCTGGAGAGCGCAGGAAGCCGCGCCGCAGCCGCACCGCGCGGTCCCCCCAACCCACTTAGCACACTCTTATTTAATTTCCTACTTCTAGAGGCTGAAAAGGTGAGCTACTTTTGCTGTTACTAGGGTTTTTTTGTTTATTTATGCCTATNTTTTTTTGTTTATTTATGCCTATAATTGAATGAATTTTTGCTTACCATTGTCTGTTCTTCGCACCAGGACCCACACGCGCGCAGTGAAACACACTATTTAGCTCGTCCGGACGCCCCACCCTTCTTCATTTTTCTGGTTTCATTCACGTCCAGCCCCCTTCTTTTCAAAGCCTTTTTTTTACTTTGGAAACACCGATGCACGCAGTTCCTTCACTTCAGTCGCACTAGTTTCGATCTTGTCTTCCATTTTTCATCATAATCTGGACTACCCGAAATTATGTGAACGGTGCCTTTCAGCTCTCGTACGAATGCCAAGTGCGCATTGACGAAGACACCTACACCGCCGAAGCCTCTGCTGTCGCATGTTCAAAGGAACAGTTCTTTTCCAGTCTCAAATACAGCAAGCAGCGAGCGATGCCTTCTCGCCTCGGTCAGGCCGATGACGTCGTAGTTGATCTTCCTAGCTTGCATCATCATATCTTCTCTACACGCTTCCGATGCAAGCGTCCGTGCTTTGAAAGCACGGATCGCCGTCTTAGCCCTCCTCCTTTTGGGCGGCCTGTTTTGGCCCTGAGATTCCAGCTGCCTCTTCCTAGCGGTCCTACCCAACGCTGCCAAATTGGGAGCTCCCTCAGGTCAGGGGAATGAGGCCCATTTTTATTACTGTTTTTGGCGCATAGATACCCAACGTGCAGCTCGCGAGGCTCTGACGTAGGGGTAGGTTGACTCCGGTGACTCCGGGTACTTGCCGGACTGCCAGGCTATCCCGAAGCTTGGACGAGGGGAGGCGGCCCCAAACAGCTTCCCAGATACTTCCCAGTCATTTGAATTCAAACTTTCGGCTGAGTCGATGGACAGGATACCAACTGCATGCACAGACTCTCCACACAGTGCGAGATACAGAGGGTATGTATAACGACCCAGAAGATGCTGTTCAGCGCGAATGTTATTATAAAAAAATCAAATGGCAATGCGGATGATTGTCCTTCTGAAATTACGTTCTTTTCTGCCATGTCGGAAGTGTACGAGCGCTCATACCGTACCCAGTAGAGGAGAAAGCGTACATAAGGTGCGAATAACCACAGACGTCGCTAACTTTGCTTTTAGTGAGTTCTGCTACCGCGAATTGAATTCCATTAGTTACCTGGATATAGCTGCTTCGCAATCAAATAGAATTGAATATTAAGGAATATGCTTAAGTTAACTATATCAAAATTCTGTGCGATTTGCTCTACTAATAAAGAAGTTATGTACCAAAGGGCGTAAGAGCGCTTGGCGGAAGACTTTTGAGCGCTACTGTACATCTCTCATTAGTGGGACTCGTAAAAACGTGATTGTCTTTTAGGGATCTCTCAGAAGGCTCTGAAAGATTTCCCGTTCGAGTCGTGAATAATGTCGACTCGGCAACAATTGCTGAGTTTACCTACACTTCGCGAATAGTAGATCGTAGCGGAGTGTTAGCAGCAAGACGGAGTACCATAGAAACGGTTAGTACTAGAACTCACTTTTGAAGGTGATATTTACGTCTGACCATGAATTATTTTAGTTCTGCTGTTGTAATGATCTATGTTCATTGGAATGTGAATGCAATAGTGGAGTCTATGATGAACATGGTCAGTGGTTCTGAACTATCTGGAAGGGATTTTCTCATTACGCTTTTGAACTATGAGCTGCTGAAAAGATGTAACACTGTATTCATTTTAAGGCACAGTTCATGATAGAAATGATTTCTGAGATTTCCCGGTAGGATGAATTTGAGGCCCCTCTTATACCATATCTGGCGCTATCATGTCGGAAAACGGCCTAGTTAGGGCGTTAAAATGGCTCAAAGATTGTCTCGTGCGTATCCTCGGACGAGTTCCACCGGCATTGTAGAGGGTGCATAGATCTCAAAGGAGCCCGTGCAGGAAGTTCAAACAACTTGTCATGACTCATAGTGGCGGTGAAAGGCAGTTCTGTACAGCTTTGACCTGATGTAGTCAGCTCTTTGAGCAATTGCAATAACCAAGACCTCGTTCGTATACCCCTTGCATTTTATTTCCATCATGGTGATCTCGTCCAACCTCTACTTTCCTTACTTTTGAGAAGCTTTATTTTTCTCGAATTGGCGAATTTTCTCGCTCTCTTCACCAGTGAACTATTCCCAATCTATAGTTCCGCTTTTCGACTTAAAAGGGGTACCTTAAAATTATCGTGAACGGTGCCTTTAAATTCACCACTGTAACGTCAACGGTCCTATAACGGGACCACGTGTTCATTCTTTATCACTGTAGAGTTTCGCTCTTACAAGAAAGGTCTTTCAGGGCGTGGGACGCTTTTTGAAAAGGATTTTTTGCATTGTGTAGGGGCATGAGCACTGAGTATAGAACTATGGTCCATTTCCACCAAATGGCCTTCTGAATACCGAAAAAGAAGTAAAAAAGGTTTTGTTAAAAATTGCCATCTCAACCCACTAAGCGTCGTATGTTTCATTCATGGCATCGACTGTCCGTACAGTAAAAAGCGCCAATGGACCGCGCATTGAAAATAACGTACACGGCAGCCAAAAAAGGGAGCCACGTCTCAAAAAATGTTGAAAAGTGTGGGGAAGTTTCATATTTGCACTCCACAGTTTAATCGTTGGCCGCGACGGATCGTGTGGTGTATATCGATGTGGACTTCAATCAGGGAGTAGGATGGGTTGATGGTTCAGCAGATCTCCGAGGCTCTGCCGTTTTTGCATTTTATGCTACCACCTCCAGTTTGGCTCCATATTGCACCAGGGCCAAAGCAAGTGCCTGACTGGTCATGGTCGTGGCCGGGACAAGCCAGGAACATAACCTCTACAAGTCGATAGAATTTGATGTGTGGAGCACTATCAGTGGAGGAGCTTCCAGGCTTCACACTTCCAGGAGCATAAAGGGGTCTCTTAATTTCGCACTTCTCGACCTTGTTCGTCAATGCAAAGACAGCAGGATTCCCATATTCATTAGAGCTCCCGATTCCGACCTTTCTCTGGGCGTCAACCGCGGACTCCTGTGGGAAAAGGAATCAGATTCTATTTCAATTTGTCTTCTTGCTGGAGCATCCATGAGCGTTAGGTTAGACATAAAAAGCTGTCAGCCTGAGGAAAATCATTCTAGCGCAGGATTACTAGATTAATGACTAAATAAAGGGTTTGGGGGTCACCCGTTCCCAACCTACTATCCCCTAACTCCGCGTTCTGCTATGAAGTGCTGGCAGGACGCGATCAAGAAGGACGTTGCTGAAGTCTAGGGGACTGCAGAAGATGCTGATCGTGAGGAGAGAAGGAAATGGAGATAACCAACCAGAACCGAAAGCGTCCCATGCCCTGGAAGGCCTTCCTTGTTAGAGTTGAGTATCTATTTGATGCTACGATGTCAGCGTCATGTATCACATCAGCTACAAATTAAGACCCCATGACCTAATTGTCTAATTGTAAAAGAAAGAGCACAAAAGAAGAATTGGGCTACCACTCAACCATGAAAATAGCGGTGTTTTTTAACCAATTTATACCTTGATTATAGTCAGACCCTTTGATAATCCACATCTATAGCAGTCAATCGATTTGCTGTCGTCGTCTTACAAGTTATTGGTCGCGATGAGATGTATACCGCCGTAGGGAGTTTCAAACGCTGATCTTAAATCTGTATTTCAAATCCGCTAAACGATTCCGGGAACAAAGTTACAGGAAATTCTGTGTTATATCACTGCACCACTGCACTGAACGAATCGCCGAGCCGAACAAAGCCCTTACATGTGCAACGGTGGCCTAGCGGGTAGTGTCGTGGATTGGTAGGCATGAGGTCAAGGTTCAGGTCCTTGATGCATGCGCCCGTTTTGCTTTTTCATAAAATGTGTCCTAGATGCTTGCAAAACGTTTTTGGGCTCAATATTGACCACCTACGGTGCTATCTCACGTTTTAGGAACACTAGAAAGGTATTGAAGGGAAAGTTTTTTTTTGCTCCTCACCAGCCCAATAATGTTGGAGCTCATTCGAACAAAAGAGGAATTCTAGACAATCGCTCATGATGGGCTTCAGAGGCTTTAAGGAGAATGGTTCCTGTTGTTTTATCGGATCAAACGCTCTTTAGCATGTTACCAGCGAAATATTTTGGCCGAAGGTGGTGCCATCGCATTTGATGGAGGACGTACATTCTTGCAGCGTGAGGTGGGCGCCACCTAGGAAGAGGTGGTAATAGAGAGCCTCTGAACCGTAATACTCGATGCTATGAAACCTATTCCGTTACCCACAGCGAGAAATCCGCTGCGGTCGCCTCATGATGGCAGCGACGACGGATCCGTAACTTCGCGAGAGAAACCCCGTACGTTTGTGGTAAATGTGGTTTGTAAGTGAAACGTAGCCTTAAACTTTGTGAACCGACCTATGAGCTCCAATTTTGAAGGCAGAAGAGTCCATAGCCTTCCACAGTTCGATTGCCAAAAGCAGCCGCATATCCCGTACATGAGACACGTTTTGTATTATCACGCCAGAGTGCCGTCAACGGAAATTAAGGGCAAGTGTGAGAGACAATGAGCTTTCAATTTAGCCCACCTCTGACAAAGCGTGATGTCCTATCTGGTCGTCACTATCATGTACAAACAAACGGACCAGAGATCAGCGGATAAGTTGGAAAGATTCCTCATAAAATTAATGTGAGGATTTCATTGCACGACAGTCTTTTTAACTGGACGACGCTTTGAATCAGCAATGAAGGCCCATAGGGGCGAATTCAAAGCAAGTCATAGGCGAATTAAGGGTTTCGAGTACAGCCGTGGTTTTAAAAAGCCCTTCCTTAATGTAAGTGTAAGGTAAACTTGGCGGCGTCCCACCGCACCGCCACGTTTACCTCAGGCTTTTTAAAAGGGCGTTCACCCCAAAAATTAGTGGATAATCATACGTGTCACCAAAGCGATAAACTATTGTTCTACAGCATTTCTTAAACAATGCCAGTTTACCTGTACCGCCATCTACCGTAAGTGCAAGAAGCTGCCGAAATTTTGGAAACACCATCTTTACTGTTTGGGGTAGAGAGGCGTATATGTTCGGTCAGTAGAGGTAAAAAAAATTTGTTCGGTTTACTATTCCCCGAAATACTAAAATGTGAGTTGGCTTCTTAGATGGCCAATATTGAGCCTAAAAACATTTCGCAGACGTTTAGGGCATGTTTTATATAAAGAAAAACGAGCGCATGCACCAAGGAATCGATCCTTGATGTTATGTCTAACAGTCAACCACACTACCCGCTAGGCCGCCATTGCACAGGTGGGTACTTCGCTCTGCTCGGTTATCCGTTCACTGCAACGGTATAACACAGGAAGGAATTGGTCCCGTAACTTTGTTCCCAGAATCGTTTAGCAGATTTGAAATACAGGTTTGGGATCAGCGATTGGAACCACATACCTCAGCATACATCTCATCTCGAATGGCCACTGCGAACAATATCCTTCCCCTGTTAGATATGTGTTTTCAAAAGCTCTCCATTCTTCACTTTTTTGGTGAGGTTTCAGCTTCGGAATATAGCTGCCTACAATTAGTTAATTATCACTTACATAATATAAAACATCGAATGACACCAGGCCAACTGGAAGTACCGGAGAAACGAGGAGTGGACTTGTCTTTAGGTAACTTGGAAAAAACAAACACCACTCTTACCGTGAGACGACTACGTGACACAGTCTGTTCGTACTCACAAACTTCGTGAGGGATGGCGTGCACGTGGAAGGCCCCACTTACTATAACTACTTCTTTGGGATACTACGAGAGACCAGGTTAGGAAAGGGAAACGTGATGAAGTGGTTTGACGTGACTTCATCATACACAAACGTGCCAAGTGGAAGTGAAATGCGAGCCAGTTTTGGAAATCCTGTCTGAGCACCATGCTAGTCTGAATTTGTATGGCCTCCCAATCAGGCACATTATGCTGCTGCTCAACGAAAGCCTAGAGTGCAACTTCTTTAGGTGGTTTTATTAATACTCTAAGCAAGTGAGGGGACTAGCTATGGGACTGAGGTTAACAGAGGCTATAGCGGTCATGTCGAAAGTTGAATGGCCTGTCTAGGAACGAGGGCCACTAATTTAGTGCCGGTATATCGACCACTGTTTTTTATCGTACGTTACACTCAAACAGGTGGACACCAAATTCGAACTTTAAACAGGCAGTCTGAACACATAAAGTTCACAAGGGAAAACTGGCAGAGAGTTGGCTCGCCTTTCTCAGATGAAATTCTCGCATGGTATCCAAAAACGAAGTGGTATCGAATACCTAGCAGTAAGAACATCCTCGTCCCCTGCAGTTCAGCACATTCATTGTAGACGAAAACTGCCATTATCGAGAACATGTTTTAAAAGGCTTTTGTAGTTTCGTCTGGAGGTGCTTTTAGAACGGAATCTACGGATGAGGTTCAGCAGATTGCGCAGGAGAAGGGATATGGTTGTGATGGGCATCCCTCTCAGTGCCTTTAGTTTTAGATGATATGAGCGCTGTCATTCGCGCCTGCCTCCGTAAATCTCTCTAGGATAGTGTGCGAGTGGTCGAGATACCCTCCTTGAACCTCAGAAGGCAGTTCGCTAGAAATCGTTTTTATGTTATGATCTGAGATGCCGAACGCCCCTCCGTGTGATCTGCCCTTCCGGAAAGAAAAGTGACTGTATAATCTCAGGAGTCGCACACCTCATCACGTGCCAGCTGTATGGGGAGGAATATTCAGAGGAAACGGGAGGCCCCTCTGCATGAGGACAAAAAAGCATTTTTATAAGTTGAAAAAGTCTAGGAAGGCCACTCTCTTGGGTGGTCACAAAATACAGCACCATGAAAATAAAAGTGTGGCCGTCTCTATTACGATACTGTCTCTTGAAAGTGATATATCAGCGTGCAAGACTCTGGAGGCAATGTGAATCGCGGCAAAGAACCAAAGATCAAGGGCAGAAGCACGAATGCCAGAGAGCTCGCGCCGTTCACCGGCCTATATGGTTAGTCTAAACAGTCAATCCCCCGCGGAGGAGCCGGGGCAGGGGTGACGGGTGAAAATGCTCAAACTCGCTGATAAATCAATACCAAGGGTGATACGCGACCAGCGGCAGCAACCTGACCTCGGATGATCTCATTTATTAGTATACATACTGAAAGGTTACATGAAGCAGTCCCTGACCCGTCCTCTGACATATAAAAACGCCATGAGGAACTTTGGGCTCAGGGTGCCGACAGACAGCTCCAGTCGTTTAAAGGTCAGCTTCATCGCCTCTGCTTTGCTCCCCTTGAATGTTCTTCTTGTAATTTGAACAGGTGACCTAGTAATCGCAACTATATTTTCGACTCGCACGCTCCGAAGAAGGCAACTCCGCCGAAACGTAAGCCATGTATGAAATGTTATTAACAATCTCGGAGGCTAGGACAACTAACAGCAGTCTGTTCAACTAAATGCCGGGGATTTGAAAGAGAGTACTGGGGAGACCGCAGACTCTCATCCGACTGGACGAGTAAAGTAGAGCGTTGGCCATTTCCGCTGCCTACCCGAACCGTAGTTTTTCCAAACAACGCACATTTGAGCAAAATAACGCTATATACTTTGATGTGAGGGGAATGCATCGATACTCAGTACGGCACGTGGAAAGGAAATTCGTTGAAGTGCGGACAATAAAGCACATCGTGAATCAGTGCAAAAGAAGAGATGCGTGACCTTCTGAGACTGATTAAATGATAACACTTCGTCGCGTCGCATCAGGATAGGAGCAATGTCCGATTTCCTTATAGTTTCGTCATCAGGTCCTTTCTCCATATCCTTGATATTCCCGGTTGGCTTGGTCTGATTTGGTGTGTTCTAATTGGTGACTGATGATTAAGTAGTTGATTTGTAACGACACACACGTGCACACGAACACACATATCATGCGCGCCCAGCCCGCTGTGAGCGAAAATCCGCATGTTTGATACACGTGATCAATTACCACTTATCCCAATTTCACTACATTTTTACCCAGATTTATTCATTGGGTTGTCCGAAAGGTCTCCGCCGATTTTTGATTCTTGGAGTGAAAATTCCTAGAAAAAGAAATCCGTTGGTTAAACGATATATCCTCCATTCTGTTCAGTAAGGGTTCGCCATCTTCCTGTAAGTATCAGTATCCCCTTTCCATAGAAGTTTACAGACGTAGAATGGAAATCTCCTCTCAGGTGCTTTCTGCAGCCCTCCAGCGGACTGAAAGATATCTCATTCGAAGAATTCTGCAGAAACATAAACAAGTGGTATTCTGATAGTGCTGTGTCCGGACTATATGGGGGTGTGACAAGACATCCCATCCGAGCTCCAGCAATTTTTGAGAGTGGCCAAAAATACGTGTGTTCTGGCGGTATCCTATTGAAAGAAAACGCCATCACGATTGGCCTGTTCGGGTCACCTCTGGTCTACCGTTTATACTCAAATTTTCTAAGCTAACTATAGTACCTTTCCGAAGTCATCGTTGGATTATGCGACAACAGTTTATTGTGAGCGATTTGCCCGCAATCCCACCATCAGCACGGCATAATCTTCCCACCTGGATTTTCAGTTTTGCAGCGGTTTGTGACGGCTCACTGGGAAGGCTCCACGATTGTTTCCGCCTTCATTGTTGTGTACAATCCAATTTCGTCCTCCGTTTTCATGCGTTTCAGCAACAGCTCATTTTCATTTCGTTTGAGCAAGGAGTCGCACGCGAAGGCGCGGTCCATCACATTGCGCTCGCTTATTTCGTGAAGTATCCCAACATCAAGGCGCTTTTCAAAATCAAGGTCCAGCAGAAGGAAATGGATGGTCGATTTCGAAACACTAAGCCTTTGTCCTACTCTACGAGAAATGCTGTGCCGATTCACTTCCGTTAACATTTTGATTTGGTCGTTTTGACTGATGATAGCCCCCTTGGGGTTGCCAGTCTTCGAGGACGAATTCACGCTGTTTAGATATCGCAAACCGATCACGCACTGTACGTTTAGCAATGTGTACTCTAGAGCATTGTGTACTCAAACGTCACAAATCTTTCTCGCGGCTTCAGACGCATTGCGTTAGAGGAAAAGCCTCAGATGCCGAAAATGCACGCGATGGTTTTCATATTTCACACGAGTCCTGCACTGAAAAGCTTTGCAAATGCTGACAGAATCCCAGCAGGAATATAGAAAAGGACCTACTCTTTCAGAAAACATATAACTCTTTAAGGTTATTTGATCTTTTGTACAACACTTGATGAACCGAGGGTGTTCAAAATCGGCGGAAACTTCGAACAACCCAATATTTTTTTCATACGCTATATGAGACAGCGTGAGAAAAATATAAATGCGAGACAACCACAAATGAAAATCGGCAATAATTCCCAACAGACACAAGACAAAAGACATTCAGATACACCTACACTTACAAACACACACAAACCAACGGATACACTTAGCGCGCTGTATATAGTAGAAGAATAGGATTAAGCGCCACCATTGCCGAGCTCCTCTTATAAAAAACCTTCTGTCAAGTTTGTCGAACACACTTCCAGGGATCCTCTTTTTTTATCCGCGCGATACGAAATGTGTATGTTAAATTTTGTTCAGTAAGAGGATTAGTCTGTCATTCGAACATCCCGGCTCTGTACCAGGGCAAAAAGCGCTTGGTCTTTTTGTAAGCCGGGCGATCCTATTGCATCTTCTATATGAAGTTAATACAGCTCGCGGCATGAGCACTTGTGGAGAACGCGTAGTGTGTCAGTGTGAACAAATTATGGCAATGCCAGAAAACCGAATTTGCTCCACGTAGCACTCATACAATTACATGTAAATGGTACCATTCATAATTCACTAATTTATGCGCATCTGTTCAATGCACCTTTGAGTTATCGTCTCACCCAGGTGATGCCCTGGTTTCAGGTCTTGTTGACGATATTTCATTGGAATGGCCATTTATGGAGTGCAATGCTGCATGTGCATGTACTTTACAATGTGGAAATCGTGTAGCACAAAAAGGCGCCACGGTTCCCATAGAGGTGAGGATAGTTACTTTCGCTCAGAACAAATCCTGTCCTATCAATCCGTTCCGACACAGTCCAAGAAAACTATAGCACGACTTACACAATGTGTGTGTGTGTGTGTGTGTGTGTATGTGTGTGTGTGTGTGTGTGTGTGTGTGTATGTGTGTGTGTGTGTGTGTGTGTGTGTGTGTGTGTGTGTGTGTGTGTATGTGTGTGTGTGTGTGTGTGTGTGTGTGT